GTGTCTGTGTCTGTGTCTGTGTCTGTGTCTGTGTCTGTGTCTGTGTCTGTGTCTGTGTCTGTGTCTGTGTGTGTCTGTGTCGTGTGTCCGTGTGTGTGTGTGTGTGTCCGTGTGTCCGTGTGTCCGTGTGTCCGTGTGTCCGTGTGTCCGTGTGTCCGTGTGTCCGTGTGTCCGTGTGTCCGTGTGTCCGTGTGTCCGTGTGTCCGTGTGTCCGTGTGTCCGTGTGTCCGTGTGTCCGTGTGTCTGTGTGTCCGTGTGTCCGTGTATCGGTGCGTCGGTGCGTTGGTGTGTCTGTGTGTCTGTGTGTCTGTGTGTCTGTGTGTCTGTGTGTCTGTGTGTCTGTGTGTCTGTGGGTCTGTGCGTCTGTGTGTCTCCGTGTCTGTGTGTCTGTGTGTCTGTGTGTCTGTGTGTCTGTGTGTCTGTGTGTCTGTGTGTCTGTGTGTCTGTGTGTCTGTGTGTCTGTGTGTCTGTGTGTCTGTGTGTCTGTGTGTCTGTGTGTCTGTGTGTCTGTGTGTCTGTGTGTCTGTGTGTCTGTGTGTCTGTGTGTCTGTGTGTCTGTGTGTCTGTGTGTCTGTGTGTCTGTGTGTCTGTGTGTCTGTGTGTCTGTGTGTCTGTGTGTCTGTGTGTCTGTGTGTCTGTGTGTCTGTGTGTCTGTGTGTCTGTGTGTCTGTGTGTCTGTGTGTCTGTGTGTCTGTGTGTCTGTGTGCAAGCTGTTTCTATGTCCAAGTTGTTTAAATGGATTTTCAGAGAGTGTAATTGTTTAGCACGTTGAAACTGATAGCCGCCTGCGGTGCCAGTGTTGCGAGAATGGTACCTAAGGACAAACATCAGATGACCCTTTTGCAGTGAGTTTTTGGCATGTGGCCATGGGTCAAAAGCCCGTACTCCCAGTGAACATCCCATCCCAATCCCCACTAAAATAGACTAAAATGAGTGGTGTACGCACCCCAAAATGGTAACATTGGTTTTGACCCACAGCCATGTCTTCTGAAATGCTATGATTCACCCGCCAACCGCCACCTATGTTCTGAGTCCTTCGCAGCCATGCGGCCCCACGCCTGCATCCCCCTGGATGCCGACGTCCACTGACTTGGTGAGGCCGATACGGTCACCGTTGATGTCAACCTCATTTCAGGTGGTTTTGAAGCAAATGTGTAGCTGTATGGGTATGTGCATGTGTATGTGCATATGTGCATGAGCACATGGGTAGTTGTATGTTCATGTTTCAGTGTATGTTTATGTGTGCATGTGTGAAACATATGCGCATGAGTGGGTATAGTCTATATGCGTGCATGCAAGGATGTAAGTACGCACGTGCGTACGTGTGTATGTGATGTATGTGATGTATGTGATGTATGTATGTTGTATGTATGTGTTGTATGGTTGCGCGGTATGCATGTGCTGTATGTATGAGTTGTATGTTAGCTATGTATATGCATCTATGCATATATGCCTCCATACATCTATGCATCTATGCATCTATGCATCTATGCATCTATGCATGTAGGCCTCTATGCATCTATGCACCTGTGTGTCTGTGCATCTATGTATCTATGCATCTATGCGTCTATGCATCTGCACATCTGTGCATCTGTGAGTCTGCGCATCTGTGCATATTGTGCATCTATGTATCTCGGTATCTCTGTATCTAGGAACCATGTATCTGTGCATGTATGTGCACGTGTATATATATATATATACATATACATATATATATATATATGTTATATATATGGTGTGTGTGTATGTGCGTAGGTGTATGGTTTGTATTTAAGTAAGTAAGTAAGTAAGTAAGAAAGTATGTATGTATGTCTGCGTACGTGGGTAGGTAGGTAGGTACGTAGGTAGGCATGTGCGTGGGTGCGTACGTACGTACGTATGAATTGCATGTATGCATGCACGCGTGTTGTGTTGTGTTGCGTTTTGATGTGCCGTGTTGGGTTGCGTTGTGTTGCATTGTGCTGCGTTGGGCTATGTTATGTATGTTTATGATATATGTCTGTCTGCATGCATGCTCAAGTGTATGTATGTCTGTACGTATGTATGCATGCATGCACGTATGCATGTGCAGGTCTATCTCTGTCTGCCCGTCTGCCTGCCTGCTGGCCTCAGTCTGTCAGTCTGTCAGTCTGCCAGTCTGTCTCTCTGTCTCTCTGTCTCTCTGTCTCTCTGTCTCTCTGTCCCTCTGTATCTCCGTGTATCTGTCTGTGTCTCTGTCTGTGTCTCTGTGTATCTGCCCACAGTAAGACAAACTTGTAGGCATCATCTGTGCATCTTGCAGGTTAAGCGCAAAGATCACTGCTACTGCAGAACCAATGCCAATCTGCACTGGTTGGTCCCTTTGATTTGTCCAGTACACACAAGACGCGTTTTGCGAAATGATGCGCCTGGATCAGCTTGGCATCCTTCGGCCAGTACTCAATGCCGTAGCACGGCAAAGTGGAAAAGGGGTTCAGCCTGCAATTCGAATAAATGGGGCCCTCCCGTTCGCATCACATCCCGGCATGCCCAAACAAGCACCTGTTACATCACCTGTTTGCCAGCACTGATTCATGAAACAGTCATCCCGGTGCACTCTATCTTGGGAATCTCTCCGGCTGCTTCCTCTTGGCTCCCCTAAAATTGTATGCGAAAAATTGCCAAGCAGTCAGCGACCCCTAAGAATCGTCTGCCTGGTGCCCAGTGCCAGAACCACGTCCGCCTTGGACATCATTTCCATGGCTGCCTGCGGCAAACCGGATGAGCTGACTGTGACTGCTATGGGTGTATATATATATATATATATATGCGCATAGCTATTTGTTTTGCGCCGCTTTCAAAGGGCTCCTGCAAACGGAGTTTCAGTTTGTCAATCCCACGCGAGGGTATGACATGCATGGCACATGTGATTCCCACTGCACGTAGCTTTCACCTAAATTCTCTGACGCGGGACACTTCAGACTTCTGCTGCGGCTAGCAATAATATCTAAATCAGCAAACGGGTTGCAAGCGATGGTGTACATGAGCGCCACTGTTTCAAGTGTGGTTTGCTCCGAAGCCATGTGGACACGAGCGCCGAAACATTGAACTCGCACTTATTGACAGTTGTTCCAAAAAATGGCCACAGCTGCATTTGGGAGATCTATGTTTGACTGCCAAATCCCAAAGCCCCGAAGCGGATTTGAGTCCCATTCAAAAGTCCTGGCTTCGCATCGATCTCCAAACATCTGCAAACTTCCACACGGTGGCAAGCGGCCGGAAGCCAAACCATCAAACCCCAGCAGCGCACCTTGGATCCGTTGTAGCCCAAAGGCCCCATGTGCAGCGGATGGTCACCTGCATGCAGTGGGTAGCCATCTGCACAGAACTCGGCTTATCTCATCAAAGTGCCGCCTCAGAAACGCTTGCAAGTCAAGCTGCAGGTTGAACACCAGCTTCTGGGAGGGATTCTTCAAACAACGAACGGCTCGTCTGGAACCAAAAGACAAGTTGAGTCTGCCTGGAAAGGCGTCGTTGTGCTGGTAGTTGCAGCAAACAGGCGCGCCCAAGCGCTCTGCCAGCTTCACAGACTGCTCCTCAGCTTCCAAGCCTTTGACATGGCGAAGAGCTGTGTGCTGCATGGAGGACATGGCTATCCCCTGTGGTTTAATTTTAACCTGTACCCATCTGGAAATTCAATCACGAAACACCCAAGTCCTCTGGTATTCGCTCTCAAATCCTAAGGCTCTGAAGCTCCAGAGAGGATGACACCTGCGCCGTTGAGGATGACGGGGAACTTGGCCTGTGAGCATTCCGATGCCATGAGAATCATTGGTGACAAATGCAGGAGTCAAGTGTCCGCACTAGCCATGCGATGCTGCCTGACCAAGCACTGGACCAAGCCATTGCCACAACTTTCCTGAGCACCTTGTGAAAATGTGTTTCCATCGACTTCCGCGCGCGCTACTTCAAAAGCACAAGGGACCTCAAGGACCTCAAGCACAAGCCATGGTCAACACAAACTGGTGCAGCTTCTCCACTCGCGCTCAGGGCCCGCCTGGGAGAGGATCTCCGCGGCGCGCTTGGTGGACTCCTTGCCACCGCCGGTGCGCTCCAGCTTCACGCCCGTGGGCAAAGGCAGCTCCACCACCTGCGTGAAGATTCCAGGCTTGGCGTGGCACGTCAGCCGTGTTATTACTTTTTGGGAGGTGCTAATCGATCAGCTCTACCTCGTTTTGGGCGTGCTCCCACCCACCCGGCCACTGCAGTCTTCTGTAAATAAACGCAGTCGCTCATATGAGTTCAACATCATAATCGTATTTGCCAATATAGATCCGATATCAAAGGTCCCCAGCCCGCTTGCCCCCCACTCCAACCCCGGCCTCAAAATGGTCTACCCAGAACCTGGTCAAGAATAGAAAAGCCGGAGATCTGCACCCGTTGATGGCAAGGAGGATTGTCCCTTCCCTCCAAGGACCCACCCGCGTCGCCTGAGTCCAGTAGTCTCGGGGGATGTTGATCTGCGCCGGGGCGCTGCAGTGCAGCGCCTGAAGTGAAGCCGAGACGGCGCGGCCGAGGAAACCCCATGGGCCGTGTCTTTTGCTAGGGGACCCTCAGGAGCCTTTAAGGAACACTGAGGAAATGTAGGGAACCCGAAGGAACCCGAAGGAACCCGAAGGAACCCGAAGAAATTGTTGGGAACCCTCGGCTTCATTCCTTTGGGTAGTCCTTTAAACAAACGCCAAAAAACCGGTACCTTCCAAAGGTTTCTCCCTTTGAATTAGCACCCAAGGCTACCAAGCCTCAAAAGAGATGCATCCATTTAGAGCAGACTTGCCGTCGGCTGTCGGAGGTTGCAAATCCAAGTGGAGGCACGAAAAGGGATAGGCAAATGGCATCACTCTGAGCCTGATCAGTCCATGCGCGCTCAACTGCCATTGTTTTTTCAAGACTTCTGTTGGACAACTTTCGCTGAATTCACAAGGGAAACAATGCTCGTCACAGCCTGCCTTCTCGATCACACGATTCAGCACCTCGATGATACGGGTATGGTCTCGCACCTGGCCAGATTTTTCAGTCAAAGTGGAAGGCTCGGCAAACAACAAACACCCAGCCTCCTCCTGGTAGCAAACGCAGTCCTTGAACATGTTCATCTGCTCCACCTCCTGAAATCCACCCTGGCCGATGGTCTTGTTCGCCGCCTGCGGGTTGCATGTACCCCTGACCACTTCATCAGTTTTGCCGAAAAGAACATGGTCAAAGCGGAAAAAAAATGAAAAGTGGAAAATTAAAGAAGAGAAAAAGCGCGCGCTTCATTGCCCTCGGTTCGGCCGGCCGTTCTTTGTCCCCCCCTCTCTCGGACTCCTGCGGAGTGACCAGCAGCAGCGGAGTATGGTTCCAGTAGGCCGTCTTCACCGGCGTCAAAAAGTTGGTGATGCCCGGCCCGTTCTGTGCGATCATCATCGACCTGCCAACCGCCATCGCCGCAAAAAGCAAGCGACGTTGCAGCAGGTGTCAAAACGAGGGACCGCTCCAGTGACCTCTCAAAGACCCCTCCAAATGATTGGGGTCAACTTCTTTGCACGGGCATTTGGACAAAGCCATCTGGTGTTACAACTGGAGTTGGGTTGGGACCGCGCAAAATTGCTGGTTCGGCAGATTTGTCCCTTCAGCGCAAGCAGAATCTTTGCTCAAGGCACATCTTCCCAGTTGTCCGTGTGTAGCCATCAGCCATCATTCCAGCATTGCACTCCTCAGTGAAGCATGCGGCCACCGCAAAGTTCCCTTCAGAATGTCCACATGTTGAACTGCATCCGCCGCAAGAAAAGTAGTTGTAGGATACAATCCATGGGGGAGGCAATCAACAAGCACGCTCAGGAACGCAAGCTCACGCTCTTTCTGTGCACCAATGCCGGCAGCTGCCAAGTGCGCCACAGGTCAAAGCGTGTCTGTTTGTGTGTGTGTGTGTGTGTGGTTTGAGGGGACCTTGTAGTGTAGCGGGTCTCTCCCACAGGTGGCAAGGAATTCAGAAGCAATTCTCGACCACGGCACTGGCATGAAAAAGCTCCATGAGCGCTTGCTCTGGCAGTTCTGGCTGTTCAGTCTAACTATCCGCTCTTGCAGCCATGCTGCGTGTGCACAGTCCCAGAATTTGATGCCTCACAAGACTTTGCGGGGGTAATCCAATTCCGTCCACGAGATTGGCTGAGAGAAGATGGGGCTGCTTCAAGATATGTTCCAAGTACATGTTGCTGCTCATTTTGAGGCTGGCTGTTGGCGGGGCGAAAGGCCTTTTGCCCAATCATGGTTTGTTGTACTACAACGCCTCATACTGGTGGTGAAAGAAAACTAAAGAGTTGATGACCATCCCTACTGTTCCCAAGTGAAAGGGTGTTTTGAACATGGCACTATGCCAAAGCAGCAACTTTCATCTCGGTGGCTGAAGCTCCCGGACCGAATCTCCCAGATCTCAACCAACCCCTACCCGCCTGCTGCCGGGAAGAGGTCCGAGATCGGCATCATGGCAGAGCCTGGGGTACTCGCAATGCCATGATCCAATATGTCCGGACATTGGAGGGAGCCCTTGGGAAAGATACAAAAAAGAAACCAGACAGGAAGACCCATCTGGAAGAGCCAGTCCGTTTGACACATTTTGCGCATGCCCCCTTCATCTGGTTCAGACTCAAGCAGCGCCGAACAGACAAAACCTCTGTACAAAACTTGCTATCCAAGCGTCCAATGATGCCAAAGGCGTTCTTGATGCCATGCCTTGGTGGAAAGAAACAACAGGCCGACAATTTCACAAATGATGTGCTTCATGCCAACACGGAGAGTCATGTCAAATCCCAGTGGCATCTGGAGAGTCTTCACGAAAGCCTCCTCCGTGGTCATGCGCACCGGGGCCTTCCGCTGACCGTGCACAGGCTTGCCCGCAGCAGCGCTGAACCTGGGTGTTCGCGCGGCGGACATCAACGTTCGCCGGTCAGTCAAGATGCAAACAAGTCGGTTACCTTGAAGCTCCTCAGTTGAAACCCTCAAACTCTAGGCAGCCTTTTGCAGCCAAAACGGGAAGTGACAAGAGAGAAGGTGGAGATTGTGGCGCTGCTATTATGCTTGTCATTGGTTTATCTGTCCAAAGACCGTCAAAGACCAAAGACACATCCGAACAAGAGCGTAAGTCCATTTACAAACAGGCTGACAGACTCAGGCGTGGTGGCACTGCATGAAGACATACTAAGAGATTGGGATCCCACAGGCTGCCACAACTTCAGTTGTACCATCACAGCGCAGCACCAATCGCACGGCGTTCCGCATGCAAGGGGTTGCGAATCAATCCGTCTGGTTGGAATGGAAAACGCGTTTGACCATGCCAGCAACATCCGCCGGGGGGCGATCGCAGCATGGGCCCAGCTGGCCCCCTCACACGGGACAGAAGCAGGCGGGCTGCATCTCGCGAGGCCATGATCAAAATCGGCTTCGCTCGCGTCGCGATCGGCGATGATTTCCTCGACCCAAGTGGCAGAAACCTCAGTGAAACTGAGGCTCGGAGATCGCGCGAGAGAATGCCTGCGAGCCGAAATGGCCAGCAGTAGCCGTAGTCCAACAAAACATGGCGTCTAGGAAGCGCCTTCCTGTCTCCAAGCTGGACGCCATTCTTCTCTGGCTCTATCAAAATTAATTTCGGGCAGCTCCATGTCGAGGCCAAACACCTGATCCAGGCAGATTGAGTGCACGCTTTGCACAAAAATATTGCTGCCACGACTGGACGGGCATAGTACAACCAAGATAGCCTAGCAACGCGAGTTGAACCTGGCAATCCCTCACAATACTCTATTGTAGGCATAGTTCACTCGGAATGTAGAAGGCAAACATTGAAAGTCAAGACTTGGGCAAGAGCTTTCCGATAGTGTTGGGTTTATAATTTTCGCTCCTCGGAAAATTGGCTATGCAGGGTATGCGGGGTGGATTGAAAGTATCGCAGCCCAGACTCCAAAAGCCAAGTCTCAAAATCGAAGCAAACAAGCTGAGACTTGCATGTAGAGAGTCCAGTACGTGTGGTCATGGCAGCCCCATTTGCACCAGAATCCAGCTGGCCATCTTCCCAGTCCCCTTAGAGGACTGCGAAGTGACGTTTGAGCTCTGGTCTCATCCAATGCATCTATCCAATCTCGACAACACCATTGCTGGGTCTTGGGTGTGAAGGAAGTGTCAAAAAAACCCGCCTTGCCAATGAAAAGCCATGTTCAAGACTAGTCACCCGGATCAGTTCTCGTGTAATTTAGGAAGCGTGTCCCGTTGCCTGTAAGTACGTCCATTCTGGACAAGAAAGTGGTTCTACTGCGAATTTGCAATGCGTTCCGTTCTTCGTGTCATTCATGAATCACAACACGGGCTGCAACGAGCCCAGCACAAACAGCTTTCTAAATCACTGTCTCATCAACCTCTGAAAGAGTTTTTGCTGGACAATTGGCTTTTGAGCTGCAGTGGGCTAGATAAGCTGTGTTCTACCAGTCAGTCAGCAAGGAGACTGAGTGATTGCGCGCAAGCAGCCTCTCGAGGCTGGGGAAGACTATTTAAAGAGACCGAGAGCCCGCAGCTAGCTGGAAACAAATTCGGCGCAGGCAGGGGGGTAGGTGGGCCTCAATGGCTTCCAAGGCTGCTCCAACAACCCAACAGGCCCTGTGCTACACTTGCGTAGAAGCTTCTGTATTAGTGCAATTGATGCCATGTGTGAAGCGTGCGTCTTGGGCTTTCAGGCTACCACCTACCCACGGCGTGCGCAAAGCCAATATTGCAACTGGTGTAATTCTGGCCAAGGGTTTGCTCATATTCAAGCATGGCTTGTTCAGGTGATAAATGCCAGACTGCTGCAACTGGCATGATGCAAACCCTGGCATGATGCAAACCCTGGCACGATTGGGCTCAGAGCCCCAAGAAGTCGCCTGAACCTGTCACACAAATATGGCTTGAAAGTGCGCCATGGAGCCACAGATTGACGAAATTGGCCATGTGGGCAAGGGGCTGTTGCATCGGCGTGTCGTGTTGGCAGATCATGTGCTGGCAAGGGAGCTCAAAAGAGCTGCCAAATAAAAGAGCTAAGGCTTGGGGATTCGCTGACATGATTAAGCAGGCCGAGTGATTGTCTCAGCTGCTTCCCGTCAAAGCTGCCTCCCATTGCACCGTAAGTGGGAAGCTGCACTCTAGTGGGGTCCAAAGGATTCCATGAGTCGTTCACCTTGAGCTAGCCACTCACAGACTCCGGAACTCCGCTCTGAACTCACCCGCATGGAAGGGGTGAACTCCAAACTGCCCCAGGCCCCTGGAACTGTTCTACACACATCACAAATGCTAGACCCCACCTCGCCGCAGCGAGTCCAGATGGCTTCACGCCACGGGAACGTCCAAACAGCCTGGCGCAAGTCGGCCCAAACAAGCGAATCTTACAAGTATATACCAGCCGCGGAAAAAGGCGGGGGCAAGAAGAAAGTTAACAGGGGAGACGACTAATCATCATCATATCATCATCATCATCATCATCATCATCATCATCATCATCATCATCATCATCATCATCATCATCATCATCATCACCCATGTATCGGGAATCCTTGCTATGTCCGAGGATTCTTGTTTCAGGTTCCGGACGCCCGGACGCACTGCTAACCCCCAAACAAATGGCAGAAATGTGTCACAGAGCATGCAGAGCCCAATAAAAAGCCCCAGCTTTCCCACAAGAAGAAAGCAAAGCCTCTCTCTGCACTCCGCAAAAACCACGCGCCTGCAGCATAGCCGCCCCCGGGCACGCCGCCCACTCCATTCCGCACGTCCTGCAGGGCCTCGAGTCAGGCTGGGGTTCGACACAAGCTGAAATCAACCCTTGTTTCTTGCCAAAAGAAACTGAAGAGGGGAGAGAACTTGAGGGCTCTTGTCAGTGCAAGAATAGCTGGGCTAAGGCAAGCAAGTGCTTGTGAGCACTTGGGGAAGCCACCAGTGCAACCCTTGCTCCATGCCGTTTCTATTTCCATACCATCACGAGGTAACAACAATACAAACTTATGCACTTCAGCAGCTTGTAGAATATACAGAACCACACGCCACCTGACCAATGGTCATAAGGTGCTGAATGACCTCCGGTTTCAGAGATGGACCAAGTTGACTCCCGAATGCATCACCTCCGTTGCTTGAGGACAATGAACATCTGCCTTGAGTCAAAGTGGCTCCAAGATCTTTGGGTTTGTTGACATATTAGGAGACTCCTTGGCGATGCTCCCGCGGCATGTCTTGGTTGACTTACTCAGCCCGCAGTCTGTCCCCTTGATGAGTGCACAGTATCAGCCGAGCCTCCTGCAATCGGACAAAACAAAATGGGAAAAGACTCAACTAGAAATTGCGGACAGAAAACATGGATGAAGGAGCTTCAGCAAAATGTCAAAGTAAGGACCAGCACGCTTAAGCTCCGCACTGTGCAAGAGAGGTCCTGACATGGGGAAACCAACCAGCCACAGCTCGCTTTGTGTTCACTATGTCCACTTTGGCTCATATATATATATATATATGTATATATATTTTGAAAGCCATCACGTTCGGATCTCGCTCTGGATTCAACACAGGGTACCACAATTGGAGAACGCGTCCAGGTATCTCAATACACTCCTGAGCATCGGAGATTGTCAAGGTCTCTCCTCTTCTCATCCAAAAACTAATAGCTTGCAAAATGACCAAGATAATACTGCAGACTTAGGTCTCTACTTGTTGCTGTGGGAATACCCTCTATGACCGCTCCGAAGCGAGCGAGCGATAGCCTCTGGGTCCGTGAGTCGGAACTGGAAGACCAGGAAGGGAACCCAGTTCGAAGTCTCCGAGTCTCGGCACAAAGCGCATTCGCAGCGTAGCGCGAATGCCAGAGCTATTGCGATGTCTCCCCCAAACTGAACAGGTGATTGCAGCCCACACCTGATCTCTGCTTGACGTTTGCCAAAGCAACCTGAAAGGGACCATATTGGTCACTAAGTTGCAACAAGTTTGCTCAGGAGAAATTGCCGTAGATTGCTCTCGCTAAGAAGACTGAAGCCCACCAAAAATCTAGTAAGATTGTGCTGATGCCCGGCAAACAGTACTGACCAGGATCCTTGCAAACATGGCCTAAACATCTCCCCCTCGACCCACAGGAAGAATCAAACTAACTGAAGAACTGGGAAACTGATTTTGCGAGACGTTGAGCTGACACCCTTGGCAGCACTGCCGTTGCTCTGCAAGCAAAAACTGCATCCTAAAGGAGCTCGCTGAGGCAAGCACTGGGGTCCTCGCAGTAGCCTGGGAGCAACTTTAAGAGCGCTTCTCTTGGCTGCACCGCAACGAGCGTCAACCCCGCAACCCGGCAAATGTCCATGGACGAGGTTGTTGTCTTCAACAACAAAGCACCATGCACCCGCTCACGTCATCTGCGCCAAACAGCTGCCCAAACTAAAGTTTGAGCGGACAAGTCTTCAAATCATGAGTCGCTCAACCGACGCATCCGCTCTCAGAAGTCTTTGCCCACCTAATAGGACTTCAGCTGTGCTGGCTTGACCTCTGACTGGTTGCAGTGGTGCCAGTTGGAGATGCTAAGTTGCAAAGCCTCTCCGCCGCCCAGCCACCACTGCCCAAGGTCGGCGTAATGCCCTATTTGGGTGGGAGTGGATCAGGGTCTACAAATTCTTTCAAAAAGGGGCGCCTGAGCCCACGCTACAAGGTGGCCCCCAGAGACTACACAGGCACTCATTCATTTGACTTGTCCAAACGCATTGTCAATGCTACATGACAAGTCTTCAAATCATGAGTCGCTCAACCGACGCATCCGCTCTCAGAAGTCTTTGCCCGCCTGATAGGACTTCAGCTGTGCTGGTTTGACCTCTGACTGGTTGCAGTGGTGCCAGTTGGAGATGCTAAGTTGCAATGCCTCTCCGCCACCGCCTCGGGCTGCGCTCCACCACTGCACGAGGTAGAAGAAGCCACTGGGAGAGCTGGTTGAAGACAACGGCAGTCTCGCACTGCTCCATCGCAAGCGTAGTCCAACTCCGTGGCCAGCAGCTTCAGAATCTTCCAGAAAGGACGAAGATCAAGATCAACTCGGTGCCAACCAAGCTGTTCGGCCATGGTGAGGTCGTTTCGACTCACTGGGTCGCTAATGTTCTGGGCTGATGGGACCCATTCTTGTTGAGGGAACCATTGATGTCGGGCTGTGAAGGTCCAAGTGAAGGCCAGCAAGTGATTCACAGGCGTGTCTCTTCCAAAGCCACGCATCAAAGCAGACATCCCTGGCTGGTTGTCAATGTAAGAGATGATCAACTGGCGAGCATGAGGAGACGAAGAAGTAAATGAAGGCGCGCCTCTGGCAGAAGAGCTGCGCGACGCTCGGCGGAACCACACCGTTGGCGTACCACACCTGGGCGCCTTTCCGCACGACGAAGCCCCAGCCGTTAC